ATCAAAAAAAAAACAAAAAACAAAGCAAAGATCTAGATTCACAAAATATACAGCATCTGTTTGCTCATATTGCGCAGACATTTGCAAAACAAGGAAAACCCCAAGCAAGCTAAGCTTTGCAAAAAAGGTGCAAACATCTTTTTTCCTGCAGTGGTAATCACTGACAGTTTATTATTGCATTGTTTTGTCACATGCTTTTCTTCAGCTTGACTCAAAATACATGCAGTCAAACTGACAGGAAACATGAGCTAGGTGCCATTTGAAATAAACATGAAATCAAAGGTTTTTGTACTCTGTGCGTTTATATCTACCATGCCATGAAAAAGTACTTTTCCCCCTTCCTGGTTTCTTATTTTTTCGCATTTCATCAAACATATTTTAATAATTAGTAAAATAAATAAAATAATAACTTGAGTAAATATAATATTTCAGTTTTTCAATGATGATTTCATTAATTGATTGAGAAAAGTTATCCAAACCTATAGCCCTGTGTAGAAAGTAATTATCCCTGAGTTAAAGCTTAGTTTATTTTCACATGTTACACTCAGGCTTCATTACTGCAAGACCTGTTGAATCAAGGAATCACATACACAGAACCTGTCTGCACAAGTGAAGTAGGCTAAAAGATCTCAAAAAGTAACACTTAAAGCCCCAATGTAAAGAAAAAAGCTGAGAGAAAATCATTGAGGTCTGTCGGTCTGGAACAGGTTATAAAGCAATGTAAATATAAAGTCTTTAGTATTCTCGTGAACCACTGAGAGAAAACCTGGAACAGTGGGGAACCTTCCGAAACCTGTGTCTGGCGAGACCAAAATTACTCCAGGAGTTACTCCTTGATGGCTTTTCCAGGATGTCACACATTTCACATTTGTCAGAAAACATCCTGATCATCCCAAAGACTTTGGGGAAAGTATTCTGTGGACTGATGAGACAAAATGACTTCACACCAACAGTCAAATATGCTCTTGGTAGTGCGATGGTCTGGAGCTGCTTTTCTGCTTCCAGACCTGGGCGTCTTATCATAATTGAACCATGGAAACATGAATTCTGCTCTCTACCAAAAATCCACAAGGGCAATGCCCGGCCATCAGTCCGTTCCCCTGAGTTCAAGCTCACTCGACTTATGCGGCAATCCAAAACACACCAGCAAGTTGAAGTGACCAATTAAGTGTGTCATGGCTACTGAACGGACTCACGCGCAGACAGTTCTTCCTCAGAGACCAAAAGGAGATTTATTTACAACAGGGATCACCTCAGTGCTATATATATGTACAGTGAGTTAGGAGGGGGGTCCAGGGCTCCAGGGAGAGAAGGAGGGGGGAAATCCCCACACACGCTTCCTCTTCCACACAGTCACCGCCACAGCTCCTCCGCACTCGCTCCAAAACTCCACATACGCTGCCACACCCGGGCAGGTCCCGTGATGTGGTCCAGAAGAGGGATATCTACACACAGAAGTTAACGTTAGTTCCACAGCAAAATACACACAGGGGATTCTTTTGAAAATGCCACAAGCACGAACTCAGGAGGCTCAACGTTCCAGCGGTGAGCTGCTCTGTGCCACTGCCTTAAATAGCAGCTGGGGAAATCAGCCAGATCAGCAGCAGGTGGACACAATCACACAGGTGCGTGGGCCAAGAGCGAGAGCCCGTAACGAGCTCCACCCAGGCAGAGAGGAGGAGGACGAACAACAACAACAACAAAACCTGTAGCCAGAGTGGGCCAACCAGAGAGACACGGGGACCGTGACAAAGTGACTTAAATCAGGTCGAGATGCTTTGACTTGACCTTAAACATACTGTTCATGCTTGAAAACTGTCCGATGTAGCTGAATTAAAAATCTTCTGCAAAGAAGAGTGCGCTGAAATTCCTGCACAGTGATGTGAGAGACTTATTGTCAGTTATTGCAAACATTTGATTGCAGTTCATTCTGCGAAGAGCGACACAATCAGTTATTAAGTTTGCCTTTTTCACATGGGGCCCTGTTTTTAAGGCACATGAATGTGTCCAAATCCTTAACCTTTTCTTGTTTGTTGTTTTTCCAAACAGGTGTGTATGAGGTGAGCTGCACAGTAATAGATCACTACTCAGGTGGCATGAGGCAGTGGTATAAAGTTAATGAGTGCCCAGGAAAAAAAGTAAATCACAAATACACAAAGCTGAACAAGACTGTGCGATATTTCATCAGTGCTGAGGAAATAGAGTGGGACTATTCACCTAAGAGAGACTGGGAGCTGGAGAAACACCATAGCACACCAAAGGACAGGTGTGTGATTGAGATAATTGCAGGATGATACGTTTCATTGTTGAAGCCACAACCTGTAATTCATGCCATAACTTATTACTGTTTGTTAATAGAAGCAAATTGCTACTTGTCTCCCAGTCCAGGCAGCATATTTGTGGGAAAAGGAAAGAACAGAATTGGCTCACGCTATAAGAAGGTGGTGTATAGAGAATATACTGATGACACCTTCAGTGTTCAGAAGAAAAGGCAGCCCAACCAGCAGCATTTGGAAATTCTAGGTGAGCTTAACAGTTCTTTATGTTGTTTTTACTAAGAGAAGAATGAAGATGACATGAGTTTTATTTTCTCCTGTAGGGCCAATAATCAAAGCAGAAGTAGGAGAGCAGATCGTGATTATATTCAAGAACAATGCCACCCGACCATACTCAATAACCACACATGGCGTTAGGGCCAGCGGTGGACACATTCCTGTCAAACCCGGTGAGAAATGAATTTTTAAACGGGCATAAAAAATGCTGGCTTTTTAAAGAAGCAGTAGGATTCATACTTTTTATGTTCTCTGAACCTTCAGGCAACTTTATTGAAGTAACTTGGGATGTTCCTGAAAGCTCTGGTCCAGGGGTCACAGATCCTAACTGTATCTCTTATATCTACTACTCCACTGTTGACTTTGTTATGGTAAAAATAGAAGCGCATCATTTACAGCGCAACTAGAATATTTAAGCAGGAGTTGAAGTATTAGATTTTATTCTGATAAGGTGTTTGTTTATGTTCAGGATCTGTACAGCGGCCTTCTGGGGCCTCTGGTGATATGCAGGCCTGGGACTCTGAAGCGTGGGGAGGGTCCCGATAGGGAGAGGAGTGACGTGGAGAGGGAGTTTGCACTGCTCTTTATGGTGCATGATGAAAACAAGTCCTGGTATTTGGGAGACAACATCAGAACGTACCTTGGTCTCAACCCTGAGAACTTCACTCCAGATGAAGAGTTTGAGGAGAGTAACAAGATGCACGGTAAGAAGAGTGAACGGGGCCACAGAAAGAAAAACAACCTTATTGGCCAAAGAATTAAACTTCAGATTTAGTAAACATATTCACCTATTATATCCAGAGAAGATAAACATAAATTGATGTCTGTTGATCTTGATGTAACCTAGTATAAATGTAATCGTTTTTGTTGCCACCACAATGAATCAGGACAGCAAATCAGAGATGGTTGAGCAGAAAATATTCAAAAAAAACTTGATGATTTGAAATGGAATGACCCAGATCTCGAAAATAGAAAATATGCACAAATTTAACAAAATTAATTTCTAACTTATGACTGAGAACCTTCACAGACATAACTTATAACTACAGCACCACTACAGCACCATCTGGAAACTCCGTTCTGTTTGGACAGGACTGTCTAAAATAGTTTTACTTTTGTGGAAGAACTTTTGAATGCTTTTATATTAAACAGTTTTTGAGATATTCATGTTCAAACATTAATATCTTTATTACGGCCTTGAGCCGGCTGTGTACTTTTGTTGTGCTCTGTCTTTAAGACTCCACAGGTCCTTCCCGATTGGAGAGCTGGCGGCGGCTGATTGGTCTCCAATCGGGAAGGACCTGTGGAGTAAAGTCCTGTACTGGATACAAAATCAGACCTTTATTCCTCAGCTTGCTTTTGATGAGTGTGCTGCTGAAGTGTGTTTGCTTTCACATTTCCTGTTTCTCTTGTGCACCATGTCTCTGATTCTGTGTGTGAATGTGTCTGCTGCAGGGATCAATGGGAAGCTATATGGGAACCTCCATGGATTGGAGATGACTCAGGGCCAGAAAGTTGACTGGTATCTCATCGGAATGGGCAACGAAATAGACATGCACACTGTTCACTTTCATGCAGAGACCTTTACTTACAAGGTTTGTTTGTGCTTTGTTAGTGGTCACTCGCAGCGGGAAGACCATTCTTTCTTTCGCACCGAAAGAATCATATCTCCATTTATATTTCCTCTTCGCTGTTCCCCCTTTTTTGCACCACTCTTATGTGTGTCAGACGGACCTTGTGCACCGTGCAGACGTCTTTGATCTGTTCCCCGGGACCTTCCAGACTGTGGAGATGGTGGCTGGAAACCCAGGCACATGGTTGCTCCACTGTCATGTGACTGACCATATCCATGCTGGCATGGAGACCACTTTCACCATCAAAGGTTGGTCAGTGTAAAGGATCTGCAGGGCAGTCTCTCATGTTAATACACTGTCACCTATTATTTAGAAATGAGTTTAACATTTCGCTTGTTTGTTTTTTTCAGTTCCAGAAAACTCCTCGCATGGTAAGATCTGTTTTTTTCACGTAAAAATTGTTACTGGGCGTCACTGGGTGGAAGATTTCAGTATTCTGTCACTTTAACTTTATATCAAATAGAGCCTAAAAGTAATGCAACTTAATTTTGTAGGATACATGATTGAAAAATAAATTTCACACAGAGTATTGAATTTCTTTAACAACTTTTGTATTATGTCACTATTACTGTTTCAAAGGACTGCATTACATTACAATAACTATGATGTCATTGTCGCAAAAATACACTTTAACACACTGGGTTGCTATTTATACTTTTAAACATTGTAGATTGTTTTGTTTTTTTATGTATTATGTGTCTGAATATATTCCTGATTCCGTATCCTGTGCCTGGAATTACATACAAAATGTTTGGAGGCATGCTTTTCAGTAACCAAACATGCATAAACACTGGAATATTTCTTCAAGAGCAGTGGTCTTTTTTATTTGGTGTGGTTACTACCACAGCATACCATTCATCTCTCCTCTGCGGCACACCATCGGTCACAAGTACTGCAGGACAAAGCATTTCCTCAGTACTGTTATGTAACTGATGGGGAATGTTTTTAAAGTTTATCTGTCTTTGCTCTGTTTGTATTGGGTATAGCAAAACAGTCATTTGCGTCAGGTGTCCTTGTGGCACTGTTGATGCAGTGCTGCTAAAGAATTTTTGACTAAGCGTAAATGTTGATAAGGCGGGTGTTACATTTAGTGTTCCCTTTTTCAAAGATCAAACATATGCATTTCTAGAAAACTGTTACCTGCAGCCCATCACAGGGAAGATTCATAGATTTTTGGGTAATGTTGTAATGCTTTTCTGGCTTCCCTTATCTCTCACTTATATTTCTTTTCCTTTTACACCACCAGGAACTAAAAGCTCCATAAAGATGCTGCTCTCGCTGTTTGTTCTACTGGCTATATGTTAATGATGAGGGACCCTGACAACAGATTATATGTGTGGATTATAACAGTGGTCACTGATGCACTTATAAAACACGGAGTTGCTGTCACTTATGTGTTTGATTGAGATCATGTACATAAATATCAAGCACGGCCCAGGCCAGTTAAATTATATATACCACTTTACAATCATGTATAATGTTCAAGATGACTTTATGCATTAGAATGAAGGAAACAAAGCATTTTACAGTTGGGATTTGTTTCTGTTGCTGCTTTCTGTCATATTGCACTATGTTGGCTTTTTTTTTTTTTTTTTAATTTTTTTTACTTCTGCTACCAAATACTGGATTTCAAGTATGAATGTGCAATAAAAAAAACTTTTTCAGTTGCACTGTGGCATGCGTCAGTGTGAGTAATTCATTTTCTTGTGCTAGCACAACAGTGCTGGGTTTGGATGTGGAACAATCTGTCCCACTAAACACCCACAGATTTCTTTTCTAGATGTGAACACTTGAGGAGAGTATATTTTTAAGACAAGCTAGACTTATTTATGCTTAGAAATGAGTACTAATGAGTAGAAATTCCAGAGAGAGTAAAGATTTATTGGAGAATAAACAGTACTCATGGTACATACCACAGACGAGTAAAAGTGTTAAGCAAAGCAGTCACAATACATTTATCTGTTTTAAAATAGCAGCATTTTTGTGAACCTGAAAGGTGAAAAAATTGAACAAATTCCCCAAATTTGACTCATTTTACTGTTTTTTAGCTGAGCTTGAGCTTTGCATATGGGCCATGAACCTGGATGACTGTGCCAGGATCACTAAAAGCCACAAGGTGGCGTTAATTCTATGAAAAAACAGCAAGTTCTCAATGTGTGTGCCACAATTTAAAAGATACCGGATATTTTTTTGGTTTTTACCTTAAGATTAACAGTTAAACATATAGATTTGGCCCCTTGTTGAGACAGTAAACAATATCTAAATGATTAGACTATTTGACGCAAATGTAAGGTGTGAAAAGCAAGCAGGTCAATAAATGGTTTTGATAAGGCTTGGAAAAACAGTGCACTAGTGATTAAATTTACTTGATGTGACTGCAAAGAGTTTGTCAATAACTGTGAAGTAAGGCTGGGTACCTCCACCTTGTGATGGGCCTGCTGATATTCAAACAGACTGATTAGAGCTGAAAATTAGAGATGAGAGATCCCATTAGTTTAACTGTTTTGCTGTTGAAAGGTTTAAAGAGTGCTCTCAGTGTGATATACTGAAGACTGTAACAACACAAAGCAGCACATCAGTGTTTATGCAGATATGGTCACAGTGGTCACTGAATCATTGAGTGGCCAATTGATTAGAGCTGAATCACAGTCCACTGCAGGGGGACAAACTCAAGTGTCCAACCTGAAAAACAAGTTTGCTGATATAACTCTGACATTTCGGTGTAAACGTGTGTTAACTTGCTTTAACCAGATCCGTTTTTTTCATTTAACAGTGTGCTTAGAATTAAACTAAGAAACAAAACCAATAATAAAAATTAAGAAGGGGCGAATCCTGTACAGGAAATAAAAACTGCAGCTCATTTAAAGTCTTATGTGTACAAAAACACTCAATACAAGAGTTGCTCAAGAGGGTTTTGGTCAGTTATGCTGAAGCTTTAGTTAAATCAACTTTAAAGATGTAAGACTTTAACTTTTACTGTTGCTGAATTTTAACAAAGACTTCAATGGAGTATTCTTTTTTGATGTTTTATTTTCTCTAATTTCTCAGATTAACATAAGTAAACAGGTGGCGTAAATACTGAAATAGGGGAAGTCTGCTCTTATTCTTTATCAACTGATACACACAACCGTCATATTTCCTGTCATTACCTGTAAAATCTGTTTAATTAGACACAGGTTATTTTCTTTTTTTCTTCATAGTTCACCACATTTAATTAAAGTAAAAATAATGGCTTTAGACCCACAATTATTAAATTATATAACTATCTGGTGATAAAAGTGTCAACAAAATAAAGGCTGGTTGGAGTCCAGACATACTGCATGGTAATGTCCATAGGGGGCGCTATGTGCGGGCGACGCTGGTATATAAAAGTGGATTTTCACAGAAACCAGGTTACTCAAAGCCTACCAGAAGGCATCACTTTGAAGCTGGAAGGAGCAGCTCTGAGCCGAAGTGGTAAGAAATTAAGACTCACTGAACATGTCAAAGCAGATCTGTAATTTGCTTTGAAGTGTGCTATAGAGAGTGGATGACTGAAACAGGAGTGGGAAAGTGATTTCATTTTTTTTTT